TTTCATTAAAATAGCTAACGCTATTACTTAGCAACTGGCTGATTGCAGGTTTAATTCTTGGCTATGCTCTTTTGCATGTTGGTGCCGTCTGTGAATCTGGTATTCTAACCAAGAATTACACAATGAAGGTTTCATTGGGGATAAGAAAAGGGGAATAAAAGCTTTATACCAAAGCGGGGGGGTGGGGGGGGGGGGGACTCGAGGGAAATCCCTGGTCCTGAAATTGGTTGTTTGGATAGGTTGTTTACACTCTGCCACCCCAATTTGGGCACGGTGGTGGGAGCAGGAGATGGGCCAGACCAGGTCTGCTGCTGATAGCCGGACAATAATAGACACCGGCAGCACACGGGGGATCTCAATTATGTTGCTTCAAAAAGGGTGTAAATGGGAAACGGAGGGTGGCTGTTGATAGGAGGAAGTGGAGTAATTGTTTACGCGTATGTGTGTGTTTGTGTGTGTGCACGTGTCCACAAAATTTGTAGCCTACCACAGCTGTACATCACACAGAATCAGATTTGCCTTTGCCTATGTATACTGTCCTGTAACACCAAAACACTACTCACATCTATGGAAGAATAAGCTAGTGAAATAAAAGTAATTTAAAAAAGTATATTTATGTTATGCATAACTTTAAAAGTCTGTTTTTTTATTGGCAGCCTGTTGAAAACCACATTTATTTTAACAAGTTTGTAATTAAAATCCTTAAACTAAATGCTTACATCTACAAATTTAGCTGAGAATTCAGGTCAATTGTTTTTCTATTATTAATTTTAATTGAGATATTTCCTCCTCAAATATTTTTTTGCAATCAGTATTTATATTTTCAGCCAATTTATATTTTCTAAGTGGTCAGTCCACCAGTTAGACAGGAAACAGAAGTAAACATTACTTTGTGAAAAAGCATGGTGACCAAACAATGACTCAACATAAAGTCAAAAGAAAAAACAAACATAATAGCTCATCAGGTTCATGATCCACCAGAGAAACAACCATGCATTCTATCTCAGGTCACCAAATGCTGAATGCTGTGGTTGCAAAAAGACTTCTGGTCCTAAATGATGGATCTTGTGTAAGCACTTTTCTGCTTTACTGCTCAGCCACTTATTCTGGGTCATACTGATTAAAAAATCAAGTCTTTTTTTGTAAATCTTGGCCACACCATGTCTCAAAATGAACATGCACGCTCATTGGCAAATGTGCTGTCAATCATCAGTCATTAGCATGTGGTTGAGCAGCCAGAACCACTGCTTGTTGTCACAGTAGTGCAGATAGTGAAGTTGGAAACACTCATCTCGGGTAATGGCTGACATAACGGTAGCTACCTCCATCTTTTATACTGTCTATGGCGAAAACCTGTTAGGTGATTGCTGCTTGACTCAAATCAGACCAATATTCAACGAGGTGTTATGAGTATTGTGAAAATATTAAAGAGCCCATAAATAGCAAACATGACCAAGGCCTTGAGTAAAATTTGAGCGAAGACCCATTAGTTGATCACTGTGTGTACGTTTTGACCAAAACTCTAGGAGAAGCAGAGATTCTTGTGAACAGAGGGTTGGATGGATAATGGACGGACCAAGCTCGCTGATCCGTCAGCTGCACGAACTAAAAGCTGATTCACTGAACTTCCCTCTGCTGGATGGAAGTCTTGTGTATAACTGACCAACCCACCTGTTTCATAATGCAGACTTTTATGTGATTTTTGCACAAGGTATTTTTGTCATGGTTTGTAGTTTTTGTCATGTATTTGCAGTGTTTCAGTTCTATTTGTTTTCTTTTCTGTGCTTCTTTGTCTTTCTAATTTCACCCATTCCCTTCTCAGTCATACTTCCTGTTTTGGGTTCTTTGACTTCTTTCTGATTATGTCACCTGCCTTTTATTTTTTTTAAGATTTACTCATTCAAATTAGTGCAGTTTATTAATGTCTGCACCAAAAATTTATAGCATGGAAATTCATCCAAAACTTGGCATGATAACTCCAAGGAGCAAGCCAGTCACAGGAAGGCACTGAAAGAAAAATGACAGTGAAAAGCCAGCAAAGACTTTAAAGAAAAAAATATCACTGCCAGAAAGCCAATCAAATTGAATGATAAACTGACTTTTCCTTTCAAATCAATTGAAATTAAAGAGTGAATATTCTTCAGAGTTTTTAAAGTCCTGAAAGGACTTGTTATGCTGGTACACATGTCAGTTAAGTTGTGTTCACAGAATAATAATTAAGTTAAAAAATATCACCTTACAGGGTTTAAGGGGTTCTCTCATGCAGAATGGAACCAAACTATGGAGTACTAATAGCTCTTTGAGGGAAACAGAGGGACATAAAACTAATAACCGATTTGACCATTACACCAGAGAGCAGACTCCACCCAAATTCTCCATGTCATGCCTCAGACTTGCCCCTAGTAAGCTGTTGAATTTTTACCAGCTATGATATTGGACTCAGAACAATCTTACCACATAAAAAGTCCTGGATCAGTTTGAATAGTGTTCAAGTGTGCAAAGTTAGAGGACGTGAGGACGAGACTTACACTCATCTGATTTTTTAAAGGATTCATTTCACTGAGTGTAAGAACCTGGATCCTCTTCCCCCAAGCCATTTATTACCTCTCATCCTTTAGTCGGGCTGGATTTCTCTGTCAGTGCCGGGGTCAACCATAAAGCCAGCACTCACCCCGTTTCTCCCGCATGGCCCAGCCAGATAAAACAGGAACAGAGAAGAGGGGGGATTTTTTTGGCTGAGCTGGTGGATTGTTCTTATCTAGAGGCTAGACAGAACGGGTGGAGGGCTGGTGGGAGTTGAGCTTTCTGATGTGGAGTCTGCTCTTAAGGTAGGACAAGAAAGTAGGAAAACACACACAACAAAGCCTATGTTGTCTTTCAGATACTCCACACAGCAGCCCCTCGATGCTGGTCTTAGTATCAACAGAAAAGACACCATGCAGGGTTAGAGAACTTCTAGATGATGTGACAACTCGTCTGGCAGCCATATTGGAGCTCTTTTGCCGCAAGGCCACTTGGATGACTTAAAACTGGCTTTCTGTGCTCTTCACTCAGGAAGACACAGCTTATGTAGCTGTGATGAATCGACACTGAATTAGCTGACTTGTTACGTATGCTGAACTGCTCGTTTTAAATGTCTTTATTGAAAGACATCTTTTTTCATCTACTACTAGCTCCATGGTCTTTTAAGCTTGAGTGTAAAATACAGCCAACAGGAGAGTCTGCAGATGTTTTTTATAATTACTGTGAAATATAAATGGTCAGTTATCATTATCTGGAGGGACCGAGACACGGGGCAGCCATGGCACCAGGATGTCAAATATAAAAAGACTGATTTTTTTGAAAAAAGTATAACTCTATTGTAGTTTTTCAACCTGACCTTAGATTCGCCCAGACTTCAGCCTTATGAACAAAGACTTTTGCAGCATTTGAACAAACGATTTCCTCCTAACATTCTCCTTGGGAATTATTCGCTGCTTTCCAATCAGAGAAGCAGATATTTTCTAACACAGTTGCTCATCTTATGTACTCATAACTTAGCCAAGAGAGTTTAATGTCCTTTCTAACCTTGGAAAAGCTCCCACTTCAGTACTCTCTTGGATTGGATTGGCAGCAGCAAAGATCTCAAAACTTCTGTGAATAAAATTGAAACTACTCTGCACGACTAGGAGGTACCAGGGGGCAAGTTTGAAAGTAAATTCGTTTTCCTAATTTGGTTAAAATGTCCCTTTAAGACACTAGGAGCAAGCTGTGTTTAGAGCCATCCCTTATTACTTACACATATTAGGATTTTTAATTTAGTAGGCAAAACGTTAGGGGCGCGCGAATGGCGATATTCATCAATCAGTCATTAATGGCGCTTCTGCAACAGAACTCCAAGGTGTAGCTGTTGAGAGGTCAGAGGCATCACCGTAAAGTCTCTGTATGGGCTGGGGGAGGGAGGGAAGGGGAGGAGAGGGAGAGCTGATGCAAGGGAGCGAGAGGGCGGTCAGTCAGCTAAATGGAAGAAGGGAAGGTGGAGCTGCAGAGCTGTACATACCCCTGAAACAACAGGCAGCTGAATGAGGCTCAGCTGGGCATGCAAGTCCTCCCGCTTGGCCACTTCCTATTAGCGGAAGTGATCGGTGCAGCCGGACAGGAGAGGGAGGCACACACAGGAAAAGAGGCACGGAGGCGAGAGGTTGAATCACAGCAGCAGACGAGAGCAGAAGGAGAAGGTTAGAGAAGATTCAGCATGTTGGAACATTTGCAGTTTACCATGCGACAGAACATGTCAAAGCAACTGTCCTGGATCGCAGTGTGCAGTCGTGAGCCGTACACGTGCATTTCAGCGGTCTGAAAGCTCAGGGAGTCAGGACTGCAGGACAGAGGTGATGCACAGCCGTGTTTTATCCACCAGGCAGCCCACTGATGTTTCGTGTGATGAAATCATTTTCTCACAAAGCAGATATGAAAATGATCCTCATATAAGCATGAATCCTCCAGACTCGTGACTGTGCAGTAGAAACCGGCACGGAAAAATTCCTCTGCATCTGGCCCATACCGTGCATGTTGGTGCTTTGGTGTCAAATGCATGTTTATTGTCACAGTGAGAAGTGCAATAAAAAGAAAGAAACACTTTTCCCTCTCTTCTGTTAAAAGCTCTCTCTAAGGTGGTCTGGTTGCATTCTCTGCAGCGGATATTGGATTCTGTCAAACAGACACATGGGCAAAACCTGACAAAAGGACAAAATGGTGAGGGCGGACACTGGTAAAGAGCAGGAAGATTATGAGTATGGTGATGTGAGGGGTAAAGGAAGGAGTTAAGATAACAAAAAAGGATAAGCATGATAAGATGTCCCTTCTGTCTTTAATTCCAAAGCAATATGGACATTTGAAGTACTCCACTTCTTTGTATGAGGCTGTATGTGTGTGTGTGTGACTTGGCACCAACGGCGTACATGTCTCCTGGCTTTGCTCACATCATTCAAGTGCCCGTTACCTAGCAACCTTGACGCAGGGAAAGTTTGGCTGACTAAAAATAAACTTAGTGTTTGCAGAAAAGGATGTAAAGCTGAAAAAAAGAAGGTAGGGAGAATTACGCCGGCAGCTCTGCAGTAATACAGGAGGGCAGAGGGGGAATACAAGAGCATAAAGGTTTCCTCATACAGCTGTAGGCTGTGCATTGTACTGTGTGAGCCTGCAGTTGTTTTTCTAATCTGTGTTTCTTTTCTACTTAAGTAAACATTTATTCACATTTCCAAAATGACATTAGCACAAATTAGTTTTATCTTTGTGTTAGAAAATATAAGCACTTATCTACAGTATCAGGCTTACATGACATTAGATAATGACCAAAACATTCAACATATGCTACAGCCTTATAGTTACTAACATAAATGGATATAGCAGCCGTTTATGGGAAAATTAAAAAAAAAATGTTTAAATGCAAATCCTGAAGTAGTATGATCTTTTAAATTACCTTTCATCAATCTGGAGAGGTTTCTTAACTCGTCAGTAAGGGTACAGAGTTTGTCATCAAATGTTGTTTTTATGTGAGTATATATATTTTTTTTTTTAAAAACTGTTTTTGTCCCGATCACTCCCTGAGAGAGACAGCTGCATATTTAGCAATGCTAGCTTCTACCTGCTGTTCACCAGGTAGAAGCTAACGTTGTGTGTCGTTTGTAGTTAGCTGCTTTCTTTTAATGCTCCGATTACTCATAAGTCAGTGTTTGTGGATTGATAAACAAAACCATTACTCTGAAAAAAAAAACCCTTTTGGATAGCAGTGCAGAAGATGTAATCGTTTATTCCGCTGGGAAAGCAAAGGCTAGCTAGCCTGGCTAGCAAAAGTAATGCTAATTCGCACTAGCGCTTTTCTTGCATTTCAGTGTCTTTTTTACATGGCCACAGCTGTGGTGACAAGAAATAACTACAATGCTTAATCTAACAGAAAATAGCAGCACTCTGGCCACAAAACTTAACTTGAGGGCTAACAATTCTGCCAGTAAGCGTTTCAACAAAACACTCCAAGAACCTTCGCTAACTAGCACATTGTGGTTTGTATTTCCAACAAAGCTGAAAGCCCCAGAAAATTTTTTGTCTACTCCAGTAGGCAACTAAAGTTCAGACAAGATCAAATTCACAAGAAAAACCTTGACTTTGGTGCTGTCCTATCAGTTGCTCCAGCCTTACTAGTACTGATAGTACATCCTACAGACTGAACGTCAGTTAATTTAGACCATTGTTCCACTAGAAAAGCAGGTCGGGAATCCTCAGAAGGCTCTTGCACTTGGCAAAATCTCCTATAGTTTATTGATATGATGTTAAAACGCTAACTTTGGAAGTGCAAAAATATAGATGGATTAATGCATCATTCCCAATCTGACTTCAAGACGCCATTGCAAATTAATTTACTTTATGCTTGGCCTCCATCCGGAGCTTTCATCCAAAGCAGTTTGGGTGATTTGCACCCAAACCTCTGTGGAATTCCATTCACCATAATACTGCGTTTGATATTTTGATAGCAGGTGAGTGCAATAGAAAAAGCAGCCCATTCCAATTAATCCATATTGTATGAGCCTGTCAACCTTTCTTGCTGCTACCTACCATCTATTCTCTGTCCTCTCAGAGAGCTAAAGAGTGTCAAAGATCAAAGCACAGGTGTTGTCACCCTTTAAAAGCTGAGAGAGAGAGAGAGGAGGAGACAAGCAGCTAGGTGGGGATAGACTGGATACTTGTGCGATTTACTCTCACCCTCTATTTCTTTCTCTGACTCACTCGATCTGTCTCAAATAAAACATTGGCTGAAGCCTGAAGAGTGGTCTCTCAATGAGTTTTAGCTGCTTTCTTCCTGCGTCCCTGTGACTGTTCCCCCCAGCTGCCTCTTGCTCTTGTCTGAGCTCACAAACACAGCACCGTGGCAGACAACATATCACCTTTGTTTTATGACAATAAACAATTCGCAATAAGCAGGGGGAAGATTCAGAAGGGGGGCGAGAACATATCCGAGCATGAAACTTAAAACAGGGGGATTTGGGTGATGTGGGCTGATGCACAGTCTGGTCTAGCGGACATAGTTTTCTTATGATGTACTTTATGGCGCTGGCAAATAAGCAGAACAATAATGAGGATGACTGCTGAGATAGTGGGAAAGCGTAGGAGGTGAAGTGGCTGACAGCAAAGAAAAGAAAGAAACGGAGATGAATACGAAGGGGAGACAGGAAAAATGAAATACTGCATTGCTATGCATAACCCTGTGTCCTCACATAACCCGCTGCAACGAGTGCAAGAAAAGGTACGTTTTGTTAGTGCTTATACAATTAGTTCTTTGTTGAGGTATGTGGTCCTGCACTGAAAAATATGAAGCATGAAAGCAAAGACTTCAAAATAACTACATAAAAAACACTTTGTTAAACACATCAGATCTCATTGGGGAACAAAATCATGCTGGATATCTGTACTGATAAGGTCTGGGCAATGTGTTACAAGTGAAAGGATGCCACAATTTTTGATGCCAATGAAAATTATCATTCTGCAGAGGGCTTAATTCAAAGACCCCCTAAAAATCAACATGGAAAAAAAAATAATGCAGCAGGCTAGTCCATTCTGCTGAAGCTTCAATGCAGCAACTCAAAAATGGTAGTCAGTAGTTTTTATGGCCTCCCAGGTCCTTGGAGGTCTCCTCCCAGATCTGGATCAGGGCATCACTGAGTTCCTGGACAGTCTGTGGTGAAGCCTGGTGGTATCACATGGGCCAAAATATAATATCCCAAAGGTGTTCTAGTGGATTTAGTTCAGGTGAGCGTGGAGGCCAGACAAAGGTATCAATTCCTTCATCCTCCAGGAACTGCCTGCATACTCTCACCACATGAGGCTGAGCTATGTTGTGCACCAGGAGAAACCCAGAACCCACTGCATCAGGGTCTGAGAATGGATACAAGGTTTTCATCCTGATAGCTGATTGTAGTCAGGGTGACATTGCCAAACCTAAAGAGGCCTGTGCATCCCTCCATGGATTGGCCATCCATCTCCAAGCCAGCCATGCTGAGTGATTTTACAGTCAGCATAAAGTTCTTCAAACTTTTTCTCCAGACTCTTTTATATCATTCAGTGTTCTAAGGGGGAACTGCTCTCATCTGTGAAAAGCACAGGGCTCCAGTGGTGGACCTGCCACTCCTGGTATTCTATGGCAAATGCCAATCAGGATCCTTGGTGCCTGGGCAGTGATTACATGGCCCACTAGAGGATGGCAGGTCCTCAGGCCATCTTCATGAGTCTGTTTCAGATTGTTTGGTCAAAGACATTCACCCCAGTGTCCTGCTGGAGCTCTGGCAGTGCTCATCCTGTTCCTCCTTGCACAAAGGAGCAGATACCAGTCCTGCTAATGGGTTAAGGACCTTCTACAGCCCTGTCCAGCTCTCCTGGAGTAACTATCTATCTTCTGGAGTATCCTCCATTATCTTGAGACTATGCTGGGAAACACAGAAAACCTGGTATAGGCACGTATTGATGTGCCATCCCGGAGGAGTTGGACTACCTGTGCAACCTCTATAGGGTCCAGTATCACACACCGACCCTGGCCAAATGCAAAACTAATGAAGAAAAAACAGTCAGAAAATATGAGGAGTAAAAAAAAAATGTCTGTGGCCTTCATCTGTAAAACCATTCTTGTTTGGGGGGGTTGTCTCATTGTTGCCCCTCTAGTGCACCCCATCTGCTACTTAACTGACCAGATCAATGTCCCAGACGTTTAACTGACTAAAAAGTGTTCCTTTATTTATTGTTTTTGTGCTATGTAGATAAAGATATAAACAAATACAGATCTGACAGCAAGGTACATCAAATCATCGAGAGCTTTAAAAGAGAAACAATGTGACAAGATACAGCCCAATAATTTAACTTCAATTTAGTTGTACCTCTGCCTGAAACCCTTCAACCAAGATGGCAACAAGCAAGTTGAAGAGGACGTAGTTGCCAAAGGTCATTAGCGCGATGAAGTAGAGCGCAGCTACGGGAGAAGTGGAGGCCATGCCGTTATATAACACCTTGTTCCAGTCCTCCTGTGTTAGGATCTGCAGAGAAAGTAAGAGAGGCGCTTATAGGTAAAAGTATTGTTGAGCAATTCTTCTAGAAATTTCCCCGTGTGAGGTCTAAGTCTTCACCGGTCCTGATAATGTTTCATACTTCACGCCCCTACCAAGATCAGTGCAATTCAGCTCGGCATTTTTTGACAAATTTTGCTGACAAACAAACATTTTTCCCCCTCTGCTGCATTTTTGCAAGAACTTACCTGTTAATCCTCTAAGGTATAAGCTGTCATTGGTGATAACACTAACTATATTTAGCAGAGAACTAAATGGCTTTTCTGAGAAAAATAAATTGAACACTTGTTAACACATGTCAGTCAGAAAGGTTATTTTATTTCTTCCCTGATTGTGTAGACTTGAGAGATCAATTTAATAAAACAAAAGTTGTATATTCTGATTGCCCAGGGTTGGAGTTACAGCTGATGATGATTTAGACCCTGGAAGGTTAATGAGATACTTATTTAAGCCTTTTTTAAAACAACATATTGGGCCTCATGTAGACTGTAACGTGCAGTACATGGTAACTAGTAAAGATTAGAAGTTGAAACCTGTTTGCTGTAGCTGGATTGTTTGTGTACTGCTGGCAAAAATATTGGACTTTTTTCAAAGTCTTTGTAAGGCTGTAAAAGCTTTTCATCATAAATGCTTAGTTTTCTTCTTTCTTTGTATTGTTTTATCTTTTTTCTTCATGTTTGCCTCCTTGTTCTCTCTGTCCCTGTCTCATTGCGTTTTTTTTTGTCTGTGCCTCTCTCTTTCAGTATACTTCCTGTTTTATTTTGAAGGTTCGCTCCCTGTCTGGTTATTGATGTTGGCGTCTCATTGACCTTCCTTCCTGACTACCCTTGTCTAAATACACTTAAATCTTTGGTTAATCAGAAAAAAACATATTTTGAAAATACTAGCAGTATTTTCTCAATTCTGCTTTAGACTGCATTCAGCCTTTCTCTGATTAGGACCCAAGAATATGTTTATTTGACTAGTAATAGCCCTTTTTTTATTAGTACTTTCTCAGGTTCATGTGTGTAAATAGAGTCCTTAACCAGCGCCACTGTACCAGCACCAAAGAACACCTTGTGAGATTTCACAGCTTGACAGAGCAGCAATATTTGATTATGAGAATATGCCGATTTTAAGTAACTGTGATTTTTTTTTCTCTCCCCTATCTATGTTTTTTAAATTCCTGGTCGTAGTAACACAGATCAGTTAAAGAAATGCATTAGATGCTCATTCTTGCCATTAATCAAAGCTCAAAGGCTCACCTGCTAACAGCAGAGCTTTTAGCTGCAATAGAAGAAGTGGTTTTAACAAAATCTCTGCATCTTTATTCAGTGAAGTGCGGGAGTACGGCAAAAACTTGCTGAATTTACGAAGTTGTGTGCTGAAGGATAATGTTTCAGTTTAGAAAAACGCAACATTAAAATGCAAACTTTCATCATTCTGTTCAACAGATTGAAGCAGTGAAGATACACTTGAGCTCTCCATGGGAACGGACACATCAGTACAACGGTCTGTACAGAGAAACATGCATACATCTTACAGCCAGTCAGGTGAATAATAAATGGTTACTATATTAAGAGTGATATATGCTGGACCCCCACAGTTACGGTTAATTCATGAATCTAAGGTGACATAATGCAAAGCACAAGCCTACATAACCTATAGAAGATAGCCAGAAATAGGAAATTAGATGACTGGAAGAAAATGATGAAGACAGAAAAGGTCTAGCGGGGCCATAGGGGAAGAGGTTGATAGATTTTATTTATTCAGGAGCAGGAAGAGGTCTTTCAGGCTCTGAACAGGAGCATGTTCAGTCATCACCAAGACTCAAGGAGATCTTACTGGAGGTTAGTTGCTCGAGGGACCACTCTGACAGGTACAGTTAGATTAAACAGGCAGCTGATGAACATGCATACTGTAATTTCTTCATGCTGCTTATTTTTTATTGTTTCAAGACGGTGACTGTAAACAAGCAGAGAGGAACAAACAAGCCTGGAGCACTACTAAACAGCACTGGGGAAGAGGGGGAAGAGAAGACAAGCTCACCTGGAAGACAGTCACTATGGCCCAGAGAAGAGAGTCAAAGTTCTTCCTGTCTGGTAGAGTGTCTCCGTCTCTCTCTGACCCAAACCTACAACCAAACAGATGCATCCCCAGGATACTGACCCAGGAGGGAGGGAGGAGGGGACAGGAAAAAACAAACAGGAAAAGGAGGGATAAATGTTTACATCACAGCAAACCCTTAGATACCACACAAATAAACAGAAATTATTTGTTGAAATGACATGTTTACCCATTATTATTGCTGCCTGTGAAAAAAAGAAGAAAAAAGCGGAGGATAAACAGAGCTACAGTCATACAAAAGCTTAAATAAAACTATATACTGACCTGAGACAGTTGCAGAGGTGATATTACATACTGAGTCCTGCCCCTGATTGGGTAGCATTCACTTTATTACCCTATCTCTTGACCAACAATGCTAATGGAAGTGCTTTCACTGGATTCAGCACCATGGAGAGTGACACAACCCACAACAATGACACCTCATGTATTTATTTATTTTTTCAGAAGATTACTCACATGCTGACTGATTTCCTCTACTTTGGAACTTTAAGGAGTAGTTTAAGAGACACTTACAAGCATAAGACGATAGCTAGGATTAGCTTAGTTTTGCATAGCACCCCATCACTTCACAGTAGAGCAGTGCTCCACAACACTTAACACTTTTTGCCTCAGTCAGAACCTCTGATTATTATTCCTCTTCCACTTTCAGCTTTCCAGCACAGCCGTTAAAATCCTTTTATGATTTTCTTTTCTTAGCCAGGCTAGCTGGTTGCTCCTGCCTCCACTTTTTACGTTAACCGTTTGATTACCAATCATGGCATACAGAATAGATTTGGGATATCCATTATCTAGGATTATCAGTTTTCCCTGGATTATTCTCATGTTAAGAAAATGTAAATAATTCATTTAATGGTGACACATGGGGGAAGCAACGTTTGCAAAAGCAGTCATAGTTTTTGTCAACTCCCTGTTTGAAGGGAAAAAAATAAAGGAATACATGTTTCTACTACAGAGCAGAAACTATTCACAGCACTTCACTTTTTCCATATGCTATCATGCTATATTCCAAATGGATTAAATTCATTTTCCGCCTTAAAATTCCACACACAATGCCCCATAATGGCAATGTGAAAAATGTCTGCTTGGAGGAAACCAGGCACCAGTCATGATCTGCTTAATACCATCCCTGTAGCAAGGGATGTGAATGCCTATGCACATGTTATATTTTTGTTTTCATTTTTAATAAATCCGCAAGAATTTCAATCTCTTTTTATTTTGTGATTATCTGGAATTGTGTGTAGAATTTTAAGTTGAACAAAATAAATGTAATCAATTTTGGAAAAAGGCTGTAGCATGACAACATGTGGAATGAGAAACTCCAAACATATACCCATATAAAGCTCTATCTGCAGCCACACGAAGAACTGTAGTAAAGAGTAAATAGTATAGTAGCGCATATACAGTGACACAGCTAAATATGGGTAGACTGGCACAGCGAAGCAAAGGCAACACTATGAAAGGCAGAGGGGATAAAGACAAAGAAAGCTAAGCTACATGTAACAACTAAGCGGGGGTGTTATTATTATGAAGCAGCAGTGAGTCGGCACCGCAGTCTGCCTTTTATTCAGGAACAGACACTGAAGCTCAACTGGAGCTGAGGGATCAATGAACAGGCCTCCGCTGCGTCAACTTGGCAAGCCTTCACTCAAATCAAGAGCTGTTTATCTATGCATATACAAGGCCCTTGGAACTTTGTGTATTTGTGTGTGCGCGCCTGTGTACTGAAACGTCTGTGTGCACGCGTGTATGTGAGGGCACAAATCTCAATAAGCTGTTGAAATGAAGCAGCAAATTCTTCGGATACACACAGAGACATGCTCCTTTAGTCGTAACACTCCCTCTTAAATAAAGGTGGGGGTCTGAAATACACAGAGAAGTATTTAGTGTCTTATTTAACAATTGAGTGGGTTTTTTGGGCTCAGCCACAAAGTCTACCCAGCCAGAAAGATGGAATGCTGATTGAAAGAGGGAACCACTTTAGTCTTTTCCCCCCGATTAAATCATCTCACTGTTCCTGTCGCTCTCAACACTACTTGCTTCTCACACAGAAGTTATCGTATACTGATTTACCAGTTTACCTTCATTCATCGCCTTTGTTCTTTTCAGTTCCACGGTCAGTGATTGAAACACTTTTTTTCCCCTTTTGATGTTACTCTTCCATTAGAATTGAGAAATAGAGTGGTGCCTACCTCCCCTACTGTTTAAACAAGTGGAAGACTGAAACATAAATATTTTTTCAGCCTGACTCACTCACTCTCCCCCTAAGAATACCTGAAGATGAAGATGAAGAGCATGAGGAGCATGCAGAAAGTGGCCACGTTGTCCATGGTCTTCATGAGCACCACCAGCTGTCTCTGCAAGGCCGGCATGAAGCGGACCAGTTTGAGGACGCGCATCAGCCGGAAAGTCCTCAGCACCGACAAACCCCCACCCTGCTGTCCCACGATCTCCCACACGCTGTCCGGAGAAAAGACAAAAACACATTTATACTTCACGTAAGGTCCAAATTCCAGTGAACTGTCTTCACGTCAGGCGAGCAAAAACCCAATTTTTCACTTTCTCTAAACACTGCGGGTTCCCAGATGTGGTCCTGACCACACTGACACAAATTATGGTCTAGCACTGCACAATCATTTTCTACAAAGAATAACATTTTCAGTAAGTTATGAAATGGTGAAAATGTGCTGCTTTTTTAATGCTTTAAAAATGATTTTTTGTTTTAATCAGTGAATGAAAGTATTTATTCTTCTGGCCACTTTGGATCAGCAGAGAAACCTGTAAACAAACACATAAAATAACATAACACAACATAACATAACTGTAGAAAATATCTTAGCTTTATCCTCCTGAACTGATCTGAAATTTATGTGTGAAAATGTACTTAGACACAAGCTCCGTCTCCTTTTAGCTCAGGTTTGGTCTCCACCTCCAGGTGAAGGAAAGATTTGATGCACCACTATGAGATTACCAGACACTATTCTGTACCTTTGCTTAGCTCCAGTTTAGTGTTGTACATAAAATTAATTTCAATTAAATTCAGTTAATTTTATTTATACAGCACCATATCACAACAACAGTCACCTCAAGGTGCTTTATATTGTAAGGTAAAAACCCTACAACAATACAGAGACAACCCCAACAATCAAACAAACCTGCATAAACAAGCAGTTGGTGACAGTGGAAAGGAAGAACTCCCATATTTTCCTAAGTCCTAAATATGGTATTACTGATAAATATAAAAAATCTTCACAGACAGTGCTTTAAAATGTATTCGATTTTCTACTAATGTCTTTAGTTTTTGATACATAAGAAATTGTTTTATATTTTATTTAATTTAATGCTGTGATGCACAGTTTTATATATACAAGTATTAAGTGATAATTGCGTGCTGGAGGACTAAGGTTACCCAATACAAAGTGGGTTTGTGTAAAAAAAACAAAAAAAGCAAAGAAAAAGAAATCTGGATTAATATATCCAAAGAACTACGACTCTACATTGATAACCTGCAGCTGGACTAGACACACCGAGGCCTGATGACAACCAATCCCGTTCAATCATTTTTCAGAACCATCAAAATAGCCAGAACTACAAGCACACCAGTATTCTCTTTTTCTCTTTTTTTTTTTTTTTTAAAAAGTGTTTTCTCTCCATTTCAGCTTTTTTTAAAAATAAAATAAAATAAATGCACTTTTACGTGACTGAAAACAAACCCTTTCTGAAATAAACTTTCTGATTTCTTTCTCCCAGGGATAAAGGAATTCAGAATGAATGTTTCGATATGAAGACAGGGCTGAAATTGAGAGATTGGCAAACAATAATAAAGCCAACACAACCTCGTCTCTCCGGACTAGCAACTGGATCACATCGCTGATTACGTTCCCTTTTCCAACATGTCGAAACGAAATAAGAAACCTCCTGTTTAGTTCTTACACTGGCGCACACACCACAGCAACCTTTTTTTCTATTCAATTCATGTAGCACCAATTCACAACAATGGAACTTTTTTATTGACAGGTAAGTGCCTTAAAATATTTGAGAGAAAATTCTAATTCTCATTATCGCACTGCCCCCTATGGACAGCAGTTGGCGCCAGTGGGAAAGAAGAACTCCCTTTTAACAGGAAGAGACCTCTGGAAATATCAGGCTGCGGGAAGGGCAGCCATTTGTGCCCACTCAGTTGCGGAGTGGTCAGGTAAAGGAAGAAGAACTTTACCTTTCATCTAAATTTTGTCACAATGCACCCAGATGACCTTGAAACCCTCTTTTAGGACAATGTAGACAAAAGTTACCAAACACAGGTAAAGAAAACAAAAAGATAGACCCAAAGGTCAACTGGGTCTTGATCTAGGCAGAGATCTTTTGACAGAGACAAACATGAACTCTGGTCTCTAACAGGATATGATATGGCTGCAAAATTCCACCACAATGATGTCAGGGACTCTTTTTCCTTTCTTTTTTTTTGCTTCAACAAACATTATTTGAAGGCTGTGCATTTCATTCGGTCAGGTTGCACTTTGTATTTTATTACATTTTGTTTGAAGACCTGACATCATATGAGATCTGGACAAAAATAGAAGAATTCATGTGGGAGTTGAATTCGTTTTCACTGCACTGAGCAGGGTTTGTGTTCCCAGTGGCATCCTTTTAAATATAGAAGCCGAGTGCAGAAAAGGATACGTGTTTTATTTGAGGGCATTCCTGTTGCCAGAGAGCGAGTCCTCACCTGATGACCACAATTATGCCGTCAAAGATATTGTAGGGGTTTTTGATGTAGCCAAAGGGCCCATACACCAAAACCTTCAGCAGCATCTCCAAAGAAAACAGGCTGGTGAATACGATGTTGCTGATCTCCAAGGCGTTGGTCAGCTCCTCAGGCTGAAGAGACAGAAAGACAAACAAGGGAGTAATTAATGTG